GGTGATCTGACGAAATTGCATGAGTTGCTTTATTAATTTGATTGTTGTTCTCGAGAAGGCCCCTTGATGATTTTGCTTAAGGCCTTCACAAGTAAAAATTTCACATATTTTGTTTTACGCGTTCAAATAGAAAGTGAAATGATCTTGAAACCGTTTTAACAATCTCGAATAAAAGAACTCCTACAATATAGGAGCATTAAGAATTTTGATTCACACCAATATGACTTATTGTCTAATTTCTATGATTTTTCTATTGTGCAAACGTGCTCAAACCGAAAAATGACCCAACTTTAAATTAATTTTGGGAAAAATTGTGAACATTTTTGGACAAACTTCCAATGGGATATTATTAAGATGTCTGGTAAAGAAGATCATGAACCTTCATCTACCGCAGATTTCTCCCTAGATTTTGCTGCTACATTAATCGCTTGAATTATTTGAATTATGAATCTTTGTAATTGATTTAGTATATGTTTAGCATGTACCGCCGTGAGCTAAGTTAGCTCCAACTTTTTCTCTTGTTTTAGTTATTTTGTTACAATGTAATCCTATAAATTCAAATTAATAGACGATGTTTTGGTAAGTTATCAAAAGCCATATATCTGAATAATTGTCTAATTGATATTGCAGTCCTAGATATTCCTTAGATATCTTAAGAATTAGGTTCATTCAATCTTGACTTATTTACAATTTTTTATAGGTTTTCTATCGAGGCTACACAAACGAGTGACAAAATTTTGATGTTCAACTTGAGTCCATTGTATTTTGCACTTTTCCAAATCTAAAAAATTAAAACTTGGAAATTATCTCGAATAATGTTATTTTTCTTTAATGAGATGATTATTAGTATATATGACAGTGGGTCACTGTCATATTGTTCAATGAATATAAAAGAATCCGAACAAATAAAGTGACAACAACCCCAATGTCATACAAACTGATGATCATTTTCATTAGAGATGAATAACATTACTCAATTTTTCTATTTACGACTCGTCTAAATATTGTAACATTTTGAAGTCGTTCCGTCGTTCCAATTTCATTCGGAGTCCAACAAGTTAAATTCCAAGAATTGACATAATCTATTCAGTTCAGTAAAATCCTAGTTTATAAAGCGTTTTGTGATTGTATACATCATGCGTAAAGGGGCTCGAGTACTCGATGTATACACCAAGTTCTATGGAAGGTTAAAGAGCGGAATGTCATACTTTTTAAATAATTATGAATTTTTCTAAAAGGTCTAACTCTCAATAATGTGATCAAAGTTAATTTATTCCACTAAGAGTTTGTTTGGGAGAGAT